ATCGGTCTACACGGCACGCTTTAAAGCACCAACTAACATAAATAAAGTTCGTTTTAGCGACATAAAGAAAAATATTTTCGAGGTGTACACACTGAATATCTCTACACTTTTTAAACTACAGACACAAATTTCCCGTTTTAACTAGGGAACCCCATATCCCGCCATGCAGTAAAACAATCGCTCCCCGGGGCCCCGATCGACACATTTTTCTGCTTTGAGACAGTGCAGTCAAATAAGGGTAGGCAGGGGTCTGACATCCAGCCGACCACAGAGCGACACCCAAATAGAGGACAGAAAGCCAAAATAAGACCGGTCCCGGGTGCCTCAGTATTTTTTATACACAGTGGCCAGGTTTCTTCGCATGTGCAACTAAATCAAGGTATTCGTACGTATTCATGCGTACGAACGTATGCAGCATAAAGCAATGGGTAAATATTGTTTCAAACAAGAAAGTGTTTTAATACAGCTAAATTTGTGATACAGTGGGGAAAGGGGGAGAAAAATAGGTTGCCTCCTTCCCCTCCACCCCACCAAAAAAAATTTAGAACCTGTCAAGTTGCAGTATACAGTGGTCATAATGGACAATGTGATTTGCGCAATCATTCTTGTGCTTCCCTTTGTGTTGATGTTGATGTAATAATAACCTAAAGTACAGTACATATGCTGAGCAATATTTCTTTTTCTTTTAATCGCATGCTATATTTTTTGTGCTTTCACTTTTTAATTGCTCTCGACCTATTAGGGCGGCTTTTTAAAATTCATTTGGGATTCCAGTTCAATCCAGCCTAAAATATGATGCCAAGAATTGTTCTAAGAAGTGAAGACGGTCATCAGGCCAAGTGGTCTTGTCGACGCTTAACACCTGGAGGAAAATCACCGGGTGTACCCTGAGACGGTTACTGGTATTATCGGAATTAGAACGTTGCACTGACTGCTGCTAGGGGCGAAAATGCTAATGGGAACGTCCAAGTTCTGTTCTTAACTCAACTCAAAAGAAAATAATTGTTGGCACCTTTACGTACTATAGTCTTATACTGCGCTATAGGGAGGCATGGAATCACAGTACAATGGCAATAGCATGTGAGACTGGCGAGACTCGCTCAAGTTGAGACACCTCTTCCAGTTACAATCGGGGATTTCAAGACCATTTTTTATTATTGCGTGTATTTAACATGCATCTGATCGTACTCTCAGTTTTTAACACCTCTGAAATAATTGCATTCCTCTGTCGCCATTCTTTCTATAAATATTGAATGTTAAATTAGGAATCGACATCACAGCATTCGGGACACTTCCATAAGCGCCCCGTCCCCATCTTCAGCAACAAGAGAAAAGTTTAAATTCCGATGGTACCAGTAACTGTCTAATTGTACATACGTTTCGTTTTTCCCTTGAGTGTGGAGCGTCGGTCAGATCCCCTGGTAGCTCCTCGCTGCATCAGTCTCTCTAGACTGGTAATCCCCACTGGTGAAGTATGGATGCATGATAAGGCAGACGTGGTGTGGGAGAGTGTGGAAGAGTGTGTACAGTTCGGAGGAGCAAATGGATTACCATAGTCTGGTGAGACAGATGCAGCGGGAAGTGACGAGGGGTTCTGGCAGGTGTGCGACGCTCAGAAGAAAGGGAAGACGAACGTTTATTCAGAATGCTACTATCACCATTAGCATTGGGTGCTGAAGATGGGGGCGGAGCGCTTATGGGAATGCCCCGAGTGCTGTGATGTCGGCTCTTGAATCAGCTCAACTCAACTCAGCTCAGCACGGAGTATGCCCGTCTCCATTACGACCCGTGTGTCCTTTTCTTTCTAATTTCCAGGAGGTTATTGCTCTCCCGGAGCCTTGCTATCCACGTGTTTAACACCTCGAGGATGAGAATCAGGCAGAAGCAAATCTCAGAAACCCCGTCCAGACTTATAACAAAGTTATATTAGGGCACCTCCATGGCTACGAAGCAGCCTGCAGTCCAATGTGGGGATGGTCTTGTATTTTGTAGAGATCACAAGTAAATTAGGAAAAAAAAACTAAAATTTAGCACTGATCCCTGCCCTGGCCGGACTTCATGTTACGTAACCAATATATATATATATATATATATATATATATATATATATATATATATATAATATATATATATATATATATATATATATATATATATATATACACATATATATATATCATCTTTAGGTGCCTTGCCGACTGACGTGGGCAATCATGCCTCTCCATAATCCACGATCTCCTGCAGCATGTATCAGTTCGTGTGCCGACACACCTCCATGCCATGCAACAAGACTGTCTAGAATCTTCTCTCGTTGTCTTCCTCTATCTTTCCTTCCACAGATCTTTCTAGTGGTCACAACATGTTATATTTTCCCTCTTCTCATAATATGGCCGAAAAATGATGACTGTCTCCTTCTGATGTCTGTGATATGTTCTCTTCTGGCTCCCTCCTCTTTCAAAACCTCCTGGTTGCTCTTTTTGGCTGTCCAATGTATTCTAAGCATTCATCTGTAAAACCACATTACTGAGGCCTCAAGAAATTGCTTGGTCTGCCTACCGATTGTCCAGGATTCACAGCCATATGTTAGAAATGGATGTATGTAGCAAGCAAGAATTCTTTTTCTAACTCTCAATGACGAGGATATATTGCACAAGATATTCTTTATTTTATAAAATGCAGTTTTTGCCTGTCCCATTTTGTTTCTTATCTCAATTATGCATCTTCCATCTGATGTTATCCATGTGCCCAGATACTTAAATTCCTGTACTTGTCCTAAAATAACACCATCGACCTTTATTACACATTTAGGAACAATTCGTTTCTTTGATACCACCATTACTTATGTCTTCCCATTATTCAAACTGAGGCCTATTCTTCCACTTTCTAACACCACAATGTCTATCATTTCCTGTAGTTCTTTCGGACTCGTTGCTATCAAATCAGCATAACGTAAATTGTTTATAGTGTGCCCACCAACCACAATTCCGGGCATACCAATTAAAGCTCTCATTATATATTCACTGTCTTTTGAAAACAAATCAGGTGACAGTACACATCCTTGTCGTACACCCCTCTTTATGCTTTGAAATGTACCCAAACAGTTGTTAATTCTAATAGCTGCTGTTTGCTGCCAATACATATTCTCTATTATTCGTAGATCTTTTCCATCAATGTTTAATTTTTCTTAAAGTTTGATTACTTCTTCATGCTTCACACAGTCAAATGGTTTTGTATAGTCTATGAAGTGTAAGTACAAATCAGTCTTTACTTCTCTAGCTCTTTCTGACAATGTCCTTAGGATGTATATGGCATTGTTTGTTCCTTTTCCTTCTATAAATCCACATTGTTCATCGCTGATTTCTGGTTTAATTTTGTTTCTTATTCTTCTCATAATTATTCTCAGTAAAATCTTAGTCATGTGACTCATAAGACTTATTGTGCGATGGTCTTCACATTTTAAAGTGCCTGGTTTCTTTGGCAGAGCTATAAATATGGATTTTAAAAGGTCATTTGGAATATACCCACGATTATAAATATTATTTAAAAGTTTAGTTATTATTTCAGTTCCAAAATCTCCCAGTGCTTCGATGTATTCCAGTGAGATGTTGTCTGACGCGGGTGCCTTTCCTTCCTTCATATGATGTATTGCATCCTCAACTTCTGCAGTCATTATTGGTGGACCATCATTGTTGGTCTGCAGTTCTACATCTGGTCTATTATCCTCATACAATTCCCCTATATACTCTGTCTATCTGCTAATTATATTACTATGTCCCATTAATATGTCACCATCTTTTGATTTTAAACACCCAGTGCTGTTACGTGCCATCTTTCCTGTTAACATATTTATCTGTTGGTAGGTACATGGAATGTGAGTCTTTCCTGTGATTTTCCCCAATCTCTGTACACATTTGATTCAGCAAGGCTTCTTTAGCCACTTTGCATTTGTTCACTATTTCTTTTTTTGTATTCTAGAGTATTTCTCTTTATCATTCTTTTTCTTCCTTCTTTCATCCATCAACTGCAGAATATCGGTTGACATCCATTTCTTTTTTGCAACTATATGGGTTGGTGGGATTTTCTCTTTTGATGTCTGCCTCGAAATGTTACTACAAGTACTCTATCCCACTATTGTCATCAATATCCTTTCACAGTTTTTACATTGCTTTTATACAAAAAAAAATACAGTCCCATTTACTATTCCTTATTTTCGTTATACGTTCTAAGAAATCCTTTAACTGTTAATGCAGATGTTCTACGGTGTCATTTTGAAAATTCAGACGAAAATGTTCTCTTAGTTTTATCTAATTTTTACGCCTACAGACTGGCAACATGGTCACTAAAGAAAGTCTGCTACGGGTCTAGTTCCATGACAAACAGCAGCTGATCCGGAGGTCTTCTTGAATCAAAATATTGCCAATCTGAAACACAAAAATACATCGCCAGGACTTATCCAGTATGATCCACAATCTTCGAGGATGGTGTGCGAAACCAGGTGTTATCTAATTAGAAGTGCTGCGAGGACTCAGCCCATGCTATTAATCTGTCACCTCTCACATTCTTTTCGTCCTAGGCCATAGCCACCCGTTATTCCGTACACTTTTTCACTTCCTATTTTCGCGTTGAAATCTCCAAGTACCATCAATTACCTCACAATTTTTGCATTGATCAACAGCCATTCTGGTCGTCAATAAATGCGTCAATATCTCCTCTGAACTATTTGGGCTTTAGATCGGCATAAATTTGTAAAAAGTTGATGTCAAACGGTCTGACGCGAACTTTTTATCTACATAGTACTGGTATATTGACCATGTCCAAAATCCGTTCATAGTTTTTGACCTATGGACTGTGGATCAAAAATGATAACCAAACTAACTAACTAACTGCTATACTTCTTCCCACCTGAGTAAATAATTCTGTGCTGATCTGAATATTTTCCCCCTGCTCCTGGCCATCGCATTTCACTAATTCCTAATATGTTGATGTTCATTCTCTTAATTTCCATCTTGATGTTATCCAGCTTTCCGTTTTGTACGAGTGTTTTTGACATTCCATGTACCAATGTTCAGGATGTTTCTACCATTTACTTGTTTCTACAGTAGCTGAATGACGGTCGGGTATCACCCGTAGAACATGATGCTCCCTACCGGACGAGGTGATTCCACTGGAATCCCCATTTACGTCGTTATCTGAATTCGTAATATTCTGAGGCATGATTGACTAGGGATAATACAGCGGTGGTTTCCCCTTGCCTTCCGCTGGTTTGTATATGGTTTGACTCCAATAGCCTTTGTCAAAAGAGACTTACTCTGCAAGGCAGGGGGGGGGGGGGGGAGGGGGGGGGAAGAAGAGGTTATGGCGCCTCTTACCCGCCGATGGCCATGTCGTAGAGTTTTGAGGTATTTTATAGAGTTAGCTGTACCACCAACTAACTCGCCTCCTCTCAATGACCATCACTTGTTTTGGTCCACGGCCACTTACTCAATATATTCGTGGCTAACCTCTCTATATAGAGGCCTTTCCACCATCCGCCACCTGGTGGACGCGCCTAGTAGTTGGACAGGCTCCTACCCCAGCATATATATATATATATATATATATATATATATATATATGAGTCGCCGTATATATATATATATATATATATATACCTAGACGCGCGGTGTGGATCGGAAGGTCGTGAATTCGCTCCCTGGCGGAGCCGGACTTTTCTTAAAAAATGACCTTGGCTCCCAGGTAGACCCAGTCTTGAGTGGGTACCGGGTGCAGTCCCGGTAAGCAGAGAAGGCCGGCGCGATGCTGACCACATCACCCATCTTGTGCCGTTGGTCTATAAAATATAGGTCTAGCCCTATATGCCCTAATCACCTATAGGCGTGGAAAAGGGTCCTTTACTTACTTATATATATATATATATATATATATATATATATATATATATGTATATATATATATATATATATATATATATATATATATATATATATATATATATATATATATATATATATATATATATATATATATATAAAACCTTACGATTAAACTGGGCTTATCGAGATTTGTACACACACGATTCTAATTCTTGAGGTATTAACTCTGCGTTCTGTAAATCTGTGGGGGATGAACTGCAATGCCGTGCCAGGAAATCAAACTACGTGTACAAAACTGATCGTAACACCGCAAGAAGATTAGCGGAAGTGGTCATAGCCCAGACAGGAAGTGGCTATCCTGTGTAGCCACCGTCTGGAAGAGCAGAAAGGAAGATGGCTATACTCCTATGCTGAATTCTGCCTAACAATTCTCGTTGGTCAGCGCGCCACACGATGAAAAAATTGTTCAGCTCCAATCAACAAAGCCCGCACATAGGGAAAACTTTTCAAGTCGGTCGATATAATGTGGTGGTGGAGGATATTATAGCAGAAGGTTTGTTGTGGCGCTTCTGGTCATTCTGCAATGTTTAATTTCGTTGTTGGTGGGCGGCACCCTTGATTAGTAACAATCTGTTGCCAAAGTACCAGCCACCGTAGATATGTATGCATAACAAATGAGTTGTTTCATTTTATCCAGTTTGTTTTTTCACGAAAAGAGTCAGTTCATGACTTAGTTTTTTTACTTAAGGTCTCAATAAAAGTTGATCTTAGGTAAAATTGAAGTCTCTTCTATCATGGATCTAACCTAAGGTCGAGAAGAAGATAGTTAGATACGGATAGTACAGGAAATGAAAGATCTACGTACTTTGACTTGGTTCTAAGATTTTGGTGATGTACGAACTATCTGCCCTTGCAGTAGAGCTGTGACAGTATATAGCTTCTAGTTATATTGCTGACATAAGTTTAGTATCACACATATTGGCTATCCTCCGAATAACGGACACATATTATGGCGGCCAAAAACAGGGCCTCAGTCACATGTAAATTGCGCACTTCAGGCGACTACCGCCATTGCCGAGAGTTTCTCCCAAGCCGCGAAACATAACATCTTTCTTACCTAAACATGTAAAAAAAAAACTGTCAGTAGATATCTACTGAAAAATGAAGGATATATTAAGTAAACGCCATTGACTGCAGGTTAGAATTTTATTTTTGCTCCAACAGAAAAAAATCTGCAGCTTAACAGAGGAATCAAACCTGAGTCTGCCGCATGAGAGCCCAGGGTTGTTAACCATTCGACCAGCTGCTAATCGATAGGACACTGCCCATTAACTCTTCCAGGCCCATGAATTTAGAAAGACTTGGCTCGCATTAATTTCCTTTTACAAATATGGCAGTGGGGGCGGTGTAAAATAAAGGCCATAGAGAATGTAATATATTTTTCATCCCTACACAAATACATATTTTCTTTAAAAACGAATAAATTTACATTTTGAATTAAAATTATATGACAGTATTTAATGCTGTTATAGTTGGTTAGAAAAAAAAAAAGAATTCAGCAGGTGCTATGTTTACAAAGACAAAGTTTTGTAAAATAATTCTTCATCTACCATAATTTTGCAATCTCAAGCGCAAAGAATATCCAAATTTGAGAATAACAAATTGAAGTCGGTTCAATTTCCTAACAAATTGAAAAGTTACAAGTTTCTGGGCTGGTTTATTGCATTAGGTCAGTGGCTCTCAACCTTCCTAATGCCATGATTCTTTAATACAGTTCGTCATGTTGTGGTGACCCCTAACCATACAGTCATTTTCGTTGCTACTTCATAACTTCAGTAAATATGTGTTTTACGATGGTCTTTTGCAACCACTGCGGAACGGTCATTCGCCCAAAAAAGGGTCACGACCAGCGGTTTAAGAACCGCTGCTCTAGTTTCTTATAGGGTGATGAAAAAAACCTGAAAAACTTATTTATGCGAGCAGTATAACTTTTCCAAGTCCAGCATAGCTACAGTTCTCAAGAAAGCCAGAGGAGAGTCTGTGGTGTCATCTTGAAGAAATAAATATATGGAAGTGGAAGAAATTGAAACTTTAGTACTCATGACAACTAACTCAAAGCAGATAGTGTATCTCAAACAAAAAAATATGGCAGAAAATTGGAACTATAAACACAATATATTTACTTTATAGTTACATACAAACTGCAGCTGTAATGATTTCAGTGCAGCTTAGCCATAGTATGGTACTGTTTTAAAACTCTTTTGGATGCAAATGTGGGTGACTGTCACATTCTTTAGACATGAAATGGGTCCACTGTGTCAGACTCATCAGAACTACTGGATTCTCTTAACAGCTGACAGCTCAGCTGCTGTTGATGTAAATTCACCATCTGAATCACTTTCCAGAATGTTTTCGTCATCCTAATCACAATTAAAAACATCTAACTGAAGCAGTTTCAGAGCTTTAGCCACAGAAGGCTTTTTGTGTGGCCTGCACTTATGCCTTGAACATTTGTATTCATGGTCAGTCAAAGACAACATCGGAAAATTCACTGTCTGAAAAGAATGCTCGCTATAAATTTGAGATTTAAAATCTACAATGTTGGAAAGCCTAGGAAGTGTGCATTGTTTGAGTTAACCAATATCATTTAAAGATATAAAACCGAACGAAAAGTATATCAGCGAGCTTCACAATATAACAAACACAAAAAACCTGAACGTTGCGGCTATGGAGCACAATATCACTTATCTTTGTATCTAGTGGCAACCAGGTTGATTTCAAGACAATTTTCTGGCAAGGCACATCAGGCCGGGAAAATTAATATCCGGGGATATGCCAGGAGCCGTCACCTGAGAATAAGAGCAAACTGTGTAGGCAGTTCACCCCTTTAGGATTAGACAAAGCTGTGTTGGCAGTTTAGTCCACTAAGAGCCAGAGTTCGCAAGGTGTATATAAAGCGATTTTCAACAGACTTGCGAACTCTGTCGCTTGAGTGGCTAGATTTAATTTAGTGTCACCTCTGTGTCATGGACGCCTTGGTGGTCCTGGGAATTGAACTGATCAAAAAACATGTGATGAGTTACTTTTTCAAAAAGAGTTTACTTTCTTGTCTTCTTTTTTCTTCTTCTACATTTACAATTAGAAGAATTGTTGTCACTTGGATGTGTTTTACAGCTAGGCTGCAATATGTGCACCTTTTGGCCCAGCACCTCTGTTTTCAGTAAACCTAATTAGTAACCTTTTGTGGCATACTTGCTAAAGTGCAGGGAATCTGATCTTTGTGTGTGTATGTGTGCGTGGACATGTGTGGCTTTTTAATTATAAAATTGAAGGAAAAAAGAAATTTATCACAGCTGTCCATTACACCTTTAGTTTCGTTGTTTCATTGCAGGTGGCTTTGCCATTGTTTTTCTGGTGAAGCTTCCAAATGGCAGCAGGCTGGCACTCAAGAGGATGTATGTTAACAGTGATCGTGATCTGGCAGTCTGTCAAAAGGAAATCAAAATAATGGTAGGATAAAACAGTGTGACAGTAATGTCTGCATTATCTAAAAAGGGACTTAAGGGCTAGGTAACTACTGACAAGATTGGGGGAAAGAAGGATGGGAGGGGGAGGGCAAAGAGATGAATACCTGGATGGGGCAAGGCACTAACATGATTTATGGTTCATGATTTCACCATCATGTGAGAGGAAAACATGACAGCCTTTGCTTATCAGCCTGGCACATAAAAATGGTCTAAAACACGGGCTGCATAAAAAATAGTGCACTAATTATTTTTTGGGGGTTCTTTTGTCATTACTTTATCCTTCTCATATATGTTTCAGGGCTCATTTTGGGGATAAAGTAGACCCGTTGTCCCCTTTCCCCTCAGCATGTCATAAAGGTTGACGGGTTTTTCCTAAGAAATCAGAAAACATCTGCCTGATAGGCGAGAAGACAGCAGTCTGCTTACAAATAAGCCAGATAGGTAAAGCAAGTTTTGGAGCAAGACTTAAGTCTAGAAGTGGACGAACTACTAGAACTTTACATGAGAGTTTACAGCCGGTGAACACAAACAAGAAGAAGTGAGAGCAAACCCAGAGGAAAAAGAAGAAGACGAAATTTGTAAAAAAAAAAAATGCCTATGTGCAGTATGATTTTTTTTAGCGTTACAAATCGAGCCAGTAGAATATATTGATTTAAAAAGGGGGATGGGGGAGGATGGGTGTAATTATTCCTATTTTGAACACTTATGATAGTTAATCAGTTGAATTGACAATGCTTCCTTCAATTGTATTACCTTCTTGCAGAGAGATTTGAGTGGACACAAGAACATTATTCGCTACATTGAGTCAAGTGTCAATGTCACCCAGAATCGTGTCTATGAGGTGCTGATACTCATGCAGTTTTGTAGAGGTAATATAAATCTGTACCTTTTTTCATTATTGAGCTTTTCATTGTCCTATGGGGTTTTCATTGTCTTTAAACTCTTTCAGGACAACATTTTTTTCTGGGATTCAGACAGCATTAGTTTTGATCTAAATGTTTTTACTGCATCAGGACAAAGCTAAAACCTTCCTGAACAGAAAGTATTGGCTGTTTAGGGACATTTAATATATCAAATTAAAGAGAAAAAAGTTCACAAAAAATGTTGTGCTTGCCTTACTTTTTAACTTGTTCAACAACACTGCCATTCTGAGAATTCACGTGTCTTGTCTGTTCAATTATGTATCAGCTAGTTTTGTTGTTGTTGAAACAATTGATTTAAATACTTTGGATATTATGATCATTTTTGTATGACATGTCAGATTTCACAACAACCGAAAATCGGGAAAACAGCTGATCAACAAATGATCCGACAGAAATATCTTGTTCCGTATTTATCCTAACCTAAATTATCTGTAATAGGTTTGGTTTAGCGCATGCATTATCAATCACAATATCAAGACTGTTGTCTCTATCTGGCTGAGATTCATCAACGCATTATCAATCACAATATCAAGACTGTTGTCTCTATCTGGCTGAGATTCATCAACGACAGAGTAGAATGTACAGTTGTAGACCTTTTCCATTATCATTTACTGAAAAAAAATGTAATAATCGTATTACATCTATAAAAAAAATTTTACACAATTCAGAAAGTGATGCAAAAGCCATGCCGAACTTAAAAAATAAAAGGACTTTTTTTCGCTAGTTCTAGTTTTTTAAAACATGTACATACGAATTCGTTTTTCCAGCAAACGAAACAATATTAGAGTGTTTCTATCAAAAGCCGCTTAAATGTCGTTCTGTCTACAGGTGATGGATTGGGATACCATTTAAATTGTGTTCCGTCCTCAAAGAGTTAAGTTTTTTTCGTCATCTTGATGAGGTTTTCATGGTCTTGATGTGGTTTTCATTGTCTTCAAGGTGTTTTCATTCTCTTTATGTAGTTTTAATTGTTTTAATTGTCTTTGTTCTTACTATATCATATTATATTTCAAAGAAAACTGGCTTGTGAAAAGTCTTAGAAATGTAAGTACTCTGGCCTATTTAAATGTAATGTTTTTAAAGAAAAAATAAGGAAGGAACAGTTTCTAGAAGACAAGGTAGGGGTTAATAAACAGAGTGGTGGATGAGACAACAGATCATGTCCTCCAGGGCAAAACTTCTGCCCAAGAGAAACACTGGTTGAAGCCAAACTTGAAGGGTCACTGAGTGAATTACAAAAGACAGTAAAGTTCATATTAGAGACAACATTGCAGATATAGATAATCTATTTTTGGCGAACAAAAGTAGAAGAAGAAGAATGGTGGATGCAGGACTCTGATGACAGTGAAAATTACTCAGGCATGAAGAACTGGTGAAGAATCAAGAGTTTCTAACAGACATGAACTGTCATTTTACAAAGGCCTTTCTTTAAGATGATTGCACATTGGCTTCTGTCTCCTGCGTCCCATCAGACAGAGCTGATATCAGCGCTGTACAGTCTAGGCTGGTGGCCAGTGACGAATCACTGACTTGGGAGTAAAGCTTGGTGAAGTACATCTAAGCCATCTTCAGGGCCAAGAAGGAGACACCATAATCAACTTCTCGCGGTAACAATCAGGAGAGGTACCTTGGAGTGGCTGTTGCATCGGAGGACTGAGCACGCATGGGAATGCCCAGTGTGCAGTGATATCAATTATGATGACATAATATAACCCTGAATATGTTTATAAGAAGCTTTTTCAGTGTGTATTCAGTTACTAGTATCGGTATCGACTTACAAACCGCTACACATACAAACTTTTTTCATATAACATTTTGACCTCTATGCAAACTACAGTTGAGCCTAGATTCGAGAAACAGACCATTATTCACGACACATGCGAGTGTGTTTGTTGTTTCTTATCTGAAATATGATGCAATGAGTGGTATATGTGATTCATGTTCACCTACATCTTTGCTTGTGTGTGTGTGTATCCGTTTCGGTATTTGTATAATCAGACAATACATTTACTTTATACACTTGCAGGGGAGTTATATTATTTCCAACATGGGGCCAAAGAAAATTAACGAAAAAAAGGAAGAAAAGAAACAAATTACAAAAGAAATTAAAAAAGAGATTGTGGAAAAATATGAGAAAGAAGTCAGATTTTATAGTATGTAATTTTTTCAAGTACAACATAGCTATAGTTGATAAGAAAGCCAAAGGAATATCTGTCATGTCATCTCAAAGCAATACATTTTTAGAAGAAATTGAAACTTTAGTACTCATCTGGATTAATGACATTAAACTGAAAGCAGATAGTGTATCAGAATAAGATTTGTTTAAGTCCTCCAAACTATTTACAAAGATTTATCCCAGAACTTGGCATCTACTACCAGTAGCAAAGACTTTGGTGAAGAGTTTAAAGCTAGCAAAGGATGGTTTGAGAAATTCAAGAACAGAACCAGTATCCATAATGTTTTTAGACATGGAGAAAGTGCTATTTCTGATTTTTAAAAAAAGCTGCTTTAATGTTCGTGAAGTAATTTCAGAAACTGGTGGAGTCAGAGGATTATAGACCGGAGCAAGTTTGTGATGAAACAGCCTTTCTGGAAGAAAATTCCTAAGAAATCAGTAATAAGGAAATGGCATTGCCAGGACACAAGCTGATGAAGCACAAACTAACATGGCTGTTTTGTGCCAGCGCCAGTGAGGATCTGAAGATGTAACCTCTGTTAGTTTATCACTCAGAAGATCCTAGAGTCCTTAAACAACAGAAAGTTAAAAGATGCAAACTCAGTTTATTTTTTTTTTTATGTTTTTAAATCTGAGAACGAATGAACTGATTTCCCATAAGAGGTAATGGGAAATTTGATTTCGAGATAGAACCACAGTCAGGAACAAATTAAATTCATTAGTTGAGGTACCACAGTAGTATTCTTAGAGTGGAGAGGGAGCTGTAGTAGCAGAGTGGCTTGTACAGTTGTCTTGCATGTTGTTGGTCATGTATTCAAACTCCCCTTCAGGTAGGAAGCTATCCTGTTGAAAGCATGAAAGTCGGTCCTTTACAGGAGAGCTGTTGTGGTATAGTGGCTAGAAGTTCACCTGCAGATCTGAAGGTCATGGGTTCAATCAAATGGTGCTGCACTTTTTCAAAAATGACCTTGGCTCCCAAGTTGATCCAGCCTTAAATAGGTACCAGGAAAAAGTCATGGGAAGTAAAGGCTGTCGAGGAGATGCTGGTCACATCACAAACTAAGTGCCAGCAGGTCTATAAAATATTTGTTGAGTCCTATATGCCCAGTACAGATGGCTTGAAAAAGGATCATTCCCTTTACTTTTACAATCCTTTACAGATGCTTTTTACAAAACTGTCCTTCATTGTTGGTTCAGCATGGAAGATTAGGCAAGGACAATTTTGCTTTGTGTGTTGCAGGCTCGGTCATACAGTTAATGAATGACTGTATTGACTCTGGCTTCTCAGAAAGGGACATTCTGAAGATTTTCTGTGATGTTTGTGAGGCAGTGTCCCGACTGCATCACTGCCAGACACCGATCATTCACCGAGACTTGAAGGTGAGCTTGTATATTGTAGTTGATCTATAGTGAATGCGTTTGATACTTGATAATTGAAGATTGCCTCTCAAAAAACATTCTGATGTCACCAAGTTAAGAAAAACTAGCAAATATCACCATGCGAATGCAGTGGAAAAATTCACTAAAAAACAATTTTACACAGGTAGCTAATAATTTTTTTTTTATCTGATTGTTAAATTTTTGTTTTGAAATATATAAAGATACTAGCTGTGCCCTGCCACGCGTTGCTGTGGCCCCAAATGGTGAAATGGAAAAGAAAGAAAGTAGCTCTCAACTAACAGTGTCTGTCATAACCCTTAACCCCCGTCCCTCTCCCCTCCACCCAGTCATATCTCCCTCTCCTAAGGATTGAAAAATCATCCCTGGCGAAAGTATTACAATAGAAATAGTTGAGAAATTAGAACTTGAAAATAATGTGTTAAGCTCTCTTAGGTAACAGTGTCTGGCATAACCCCCCCCCCCCCCCCCCCCCCCAAATAATAAATCCCACTCCGAAGGAATAAAAAATCATCACTTGGCGAAATTATTTAAATGGAAATAGTTAAGAAATGATAACTTTAAAATTAAGTTTAAGGTCTTTTAGTTAACAGTGTCTGCTTTCAACCTCCCCCCCCCCCCCCCCCCCCACTAATCATATCATCCTCGCCGAAGGATGGGAAAGTCATCATCTGACAAAATTTTGTAACCGAACTGAGCTTTGCATCCGTGTCCACCCAGAGACAGATGGATAGCATTAATGTGTAATGAGAAGTAAAAGTGGCCAGTGTAACAGCTACCACATCACCCATCCAGTATCAGTACTACTGATATCACTACCACCACCACCTTCAGAACAAAAACAAAACACAGTCACTACTCTCTGTGCAGGTTGGTGTAGCCAGAGGGGTTAGCGCTGCATGTTGTCGCCACGGACTGTTTAGTGTAATTGAGCTTCCAACAAAGAAAAAGAAAAAAAAAACTCCATCACCTAACCAGTGATGGAACCCACAGTAATAGTCCGTTCTATACTCACAAATAGCGGAAATAAAAACACCCACCTGTTATCTCCCCTCTCCGAAGGGACGAATGTTAAATGACCTTGGCACCCTAGTCCACCCAAAGTAAACTGGACTGTAAGCAGTCTTAGTTAACAGCTTCTGTCATCTACGAATAGTTTATTATCGAGTGAAGCGTCACGGGGAGGATAAATAGGACTTTACTGAAATCTGATATCTTTGGGCGAAAGGTGCAGATATCACAGCCTAGCTGTAAATCACAACACAACGTTCCAACCACCCTCTCAAAGGCGAACGAAGATTACCCGTGACATGACCAACATCTCGTCACCCCTATTGCAGGCTAGCTGTAAACCCCCAAATCGAGCGGAAAGAAGACGTAGATATCGCAGCTTAGCTGTGCACCACAACAAAAAGTGCCAGGCGCTTAGTTTAAGGCAAAAAAAATTTTTTATTACCCAGAGGAGCATTGATCGCGAGTCACCCACGTAACACACAAAATATACAACTACGCTACCAAGGACTCGAGCATCTGCCCAATTATATCTCCCTCTCTGAATGATTGAAACATTATTATGTGGCGACATTGTTAAAATAGAAATAAAGAAATGACAAATGTAAAAAAATGTTTTAAGCTCTCTTAGTTAACAGTGTCTGGCATCAACCCCCCTTGACACCCCCCTCCCCCCGTGACAATCATATCATCCTCTACGAAGTATGGGGAAGTCATCGCCTGACGAAATATTGTTGTTAAAATGAGCTTGGCATCCATGTCCACCCAGACAAAAATGGGTAGCATTAATCTGTACTGAGAAGTAAATGTAGCCAGTGTAACAGCTACCACATAAACTATCGAGTACCAGTACTACTGCTACCACTACCATCACCACCGTCACAACAACAACACAAAACGGTAACTACTGTCTGTACAGGTCGTTCTAGCCAGAGGAGTTGGCGTTGCTTACTGTCGCCACGGACTGTATAGAAGTGTGTCCCCGACATAATACTCCATCACCTTACCGGTGATGGAACCCACAGTAATATTCCGTGATATATAAAAAATTTTTTACAGCCTAGCTGTAAACTACAACACAATTTGTCAACTGCCCTATCAAGGGCGAACGAATATTACCTGTGACATGAACATTGAGCATCACGTCGCCGCTATCGCAGGCTAGCTGTAAACCCCAAAATAGATTGGGAAAAAAGCGTAGATACTGCAGCCTAGCTATAAACCACAACAAAACGTGGCAGCCACCCAATTAGATCCCCCCAAAAAATTATATGACTTAACGGGGAATCGAACTCATATCACCCGAGTAAAAAAAGCGAAATGCTTACAACTAACTAAGCTACTGAATACTCAGGCATTTTGTAGAAATAAAAATCAAAGTATATAATAATAATGTGAAGGTCGGTGTTGCACAGTCAAAGGTGGCCAATTCATTAAAAATAAATCCGGGTTTGCAACGAAACAAATATTGATTTGACCGTTTCTGAAGCTACGTCGCTCGTGGTTTGTGCTATTTTATGACAAAAAATAACGCTTTGAGTCAGAGGCAACGTTGTGTGCAAATTTGAAAGCAATCGGTTCAGTAGTTTCCGAGTTTAGAGCTAACGACACCGGAAAATTAAGATTTTTAATAATATAGATATCAAGGTAATAAACAGTAAGCAAGAACAGGCTGAAGCATTAAATGGAATACATTCCCCAGGGCCGAAAACAAATATTTTGTGGGTGACTGATGCCATTACCACCCCACCTGTATCACTGAGACTTAAGTCATCTGGGTTTTGAATAAAGCTTTTGGATTTACAAGGAAACCTATAAATTAATGCTATATTTAGTTAATATATTTACAACCAGACCTCCTAAACACTTTGCTGGCACACACAGAGCCAGTTACATTTAACTACACTTTTCGAGAACATGTCACTGCAGAAATAGTGATGTATATCAGCACTTAGGGGGCTGTAACACAACCAGAAGTGTCTAGATTTAGCCTTCTCAGGGCGGTAGGTTGTAGACTCTAAAGAACACCTTTATTGAGTGAAGAGTAAAGAACCTTTTTCACACCATTGACGCATCGGACATATGTTGCAAGACCCATATTTTTTTTAAACCAATCAGTACTGTGGGTGATGTGGTCAGCATCATAAAAACTGCCTTTACTTTCCAAGACATTGCCTGGTACTAATTTTAATCTGGGTCAATTTGGAGCCAATGTCATTTTATGAACACAAATTAGACTCGATGTAGAATTAAACTTGGTATAAAAGGTGTTCATGGAAGAAGATGATTGACACTGCTTGCAGAAGATGATGATCACACCGGTAACTAAAAAGTATACACAGAAGATGAATATTCGTTTTGGCATCTAACAATTTGTGCGTAAGAGGATTTCCACTAGTATCTAAAAATATATACATGGAAAGAAAATTGGTACGGTATCTTGGGATGCACCCAGAAGAAGAAAGTTCACACTGGTATCTAAAAATGTACTCAAAAGCGGAGTCGTGCTGGTATCTGAAAGATGAACAGAAAAGATAAAAATTTACGTGGTACCTTAAGGTGCAGGTATGAGATGAAAATTCACAAGGTATCTAAAGATGTACACAGAAAATGAAGATTCACATTAGAATTTAAACAGAAAGGAAACTTTGATAATGGAAGTTAAAGATGTACTCAGAAGATGAAGATTCACACTGATATCTGAAATATCCAGAAGATGGCTTACATTAGCATCTGAAGATTTAAGCAGTAGAGGTCGAAACCCTAACATACTATTTGCTTTATTTGTGTATTCTTCTCTGTCCTTGTTAACACATCAACCTGCATTAGAAGACTCAGATAAAAACAGTAGTTATTGTCATGTTTCTGATATCTCCTACAGTTTTTAGCTCAAGAAAAATGTGTATATCCACAATGTTTTCTGTATAGGTGGAGAATATATTGATAGGTGATGGAGGAAATTATGTACTCTGTGACTTTGGAAGTGCTACAGGAAGAGTAATGGATCCCTCACTACAAAAAGTCACCGCAATTGAAGAAGAAATACAAAAGTAAGTGTCTGTAAATTATTTACTGGATTAGAGTACATATTGTACATTGAAAACGGTATATTTGTTTAAAGCAGCTGTAGGTTTTCCATGAGCAGGTTTTGTGGGTAATGATTGTAGATGACTGTACTAGGTTAATCCGCCTTTGTTTTTTTTCTAGGTGACTAAGTTTTCCTGGCTCTTTTTTGTGGGTTACTGTAGAATTTCCCTAGGTGATTGGTGTATATCAGACTTTCCTATTTGGTGGATCTAATTTTAAGAGGCTTTGAGCGAATGCAGTCATTTTTACAATTCTGATATTTATCAATTATAGTAATGCAATCGTTTCAACAATTCTAATATTTAGAAATTATAGTCAGTCATTTAATATAATTTTTGTGTTGCAAATACACTTCTTTATCCTAGCTGCAGGTGATTTATCAGCAGACCGCCTTGTGGTGGTTTTGACAATAGTATTGAGAGTTGATGGTTCAAAAAGCAATGTAAAACGCTAAATTGGCTAGTAAAATCACAAACAGCCAAAAAAGAAAAAATGATAAGTTTGATTCTGCAACATCCTGTAAAGGTTACCCAGCTCACTTGTAATTTAATAAGACTTAAGAAGTATGGGGTCCGTAAATTGATGTCTGCAGGACTTAGCTAATTGAAAATCACTGCTATAGGTTACAGTACTGTTTTTCCTGGGTGATAATTGGAGGTGACTATACCTAATTCTTTCTAGATATTGTTTTTGAAAGTGACTTGTGGGTATAACTTCAATGAGAACTGGATGTTTCTGGCTTTTTATTGTGGGTGTTGTAAGGTTCCATAGGTGATTGGTGAAGGTGACACTATAGTTTTTTCCTGGGTGATAATTGGAGGTCACTTTTCAAAATTCTTCCTGGATATTTATTGTTGTTGTTGTTGAAAGTAACTTATTTGGTTTTCCTGGGTTAGATTTGGAAGTGACAGCATAAAGTTTAACCTAGCATTTACAGGTTTAGGTTCTTTTATTAAAAGATTGTTGATTGTTTATTAATGGTGTCTACACATAGATAGTGAGTGACAGTGTATGGGGATCTGTTTAAACAAATTACCTGATCTTAATTTTTCAAACACGAAAAGTGACCTTCAGTAGAAGTTCTTGAGCTTGCATCTTCATCATGTGCCATGCATAGAAGAATAGGCTGTCATGGTTTGCCACTCATGATCACCAGAATCACAGATAATGTCAGTGTTTTTTTTTTCTTGTCCCTTCCAAATGGCGAATCTATCCAGGTATTTATCTCATTGTCTTCCCATTGCTTGTTTCATACCAATCTTGCCAGTTAGTAACCAAGTCCTCAAGTCCTTTCCTTTTTATAACATGTCCAAAAAAGCACTGAATAACATATAGCATTATAAAGTTTTCCAACTGTGTCATGACACATTAAGGTGTCGAACGTATGTTGCACGGACATAATTTATGATTTGTTTTGATATCTTTTGTGAGGGGCTAGTTTAACCTCTGGCTTGCTAGTAGACTGTGTTACAGAATTGTTTGTCTAAAAACATGTCCCCAGCATGAAAACTTTGGAAAGCTCTGCACTGATATGTTATATTTATGTTTTACTGTTTCATAATGTTCCAGATGTTGAAGATTCTAGTAGTGTCTCAATTGTTTTAAAAATTCTTGTGTCTTATGTTTGATATCAGTATCTCTCTTGTTACAGGTACACAACTTTGTCCTACAGAGCCCCAGAAATGATCGACTTATATGGAGGGACACCGATCACAACAAAATCTGATATTTGGGTGAGTTCTGGGTTTTACACGGTTAATACTGTTAATTGTTCAAGAAATGAAATGTTAACATTTTTTTAAAGCCACTTACTTTGTAGAAATTAATTCAGGTAAATCAGGTAATCACAGTTCCAACTTCACAGTAAACTGCTGACCCCATAATTATTCTGTTCCTGTCTAGCAAAAAGCATACAGAATTACCATTGCTGCCCCTTGTGAAAAATATTAATGATAGACTGCAGTCTCGGCAAAACCTATTAGCATACACATGCATAAGGCGGTCTTTAGAAATGCCAGCAGACAGTCTGGCACTAGTTAATTGTATAAGGCACCACCGATTCTGTGGCAACAAGCCACTTGCCATTTTCTGATCTGCGGCTGATAACATGGACTCCATTAGGCGAAGTAGAAAAGCTTTCGAAATTAAATCCGCATCTCACAGTCTCGCACAGTGCACTTAACTCAGTGGCTGGGTGTTGGAATTGTATACTTCCAGCTGCTGTGGTCAGGGTATCTGAGTACTTGAACAAATCACCTTGCTTGTCCTGTTTATTTTAATGTTACATTTTGGAGCGTTCATTTTCTTTGTAATAACCATTATTTCTGTTTTGCTTTTGTTGTTGCTCTTATTTTGACTTTCTATTATAATTATATACTCCATTTCTTGCAGTTGTGTTTCATTTTCAGTGACCAACACTGTATTATCAAAACATCTCAGGTTTTTTCGCATAAAGCTCACCAACCTATATTCCTGGCATACCATGTATGGATTTCATTATCATTTCACTATACAAATTGAATAAATCGGGTACTAGTACACAGCTTTATCTAATGTCTTGTTTAATGTTTTGAAAATCTCCCTCTTTGTTAGTCATTTCTTGTGGCAGCTTCTTGTTGCTATTTGTTTTTCTTTTTTAAAATTATTTCATGTTTTACTTAAATAATGATTATTATAATATAATAATTAGAAAAAAATAAAGAATCCTCTCTAGTTGCAGTTGTTCTTTCTATAACTGTTCTCAGGGTAAATATGAAGTTGTTTGAGCTTTCACCTTCAACAAAACCATACTGCTGGTCTCTAATTTATGGTTTAATTTTGCACCTTATTCTTCTTATTATAGTTCATGCTAATATTTTCGTTACATGACTCATTGAACTAATTGTTTGATGTTCTCCGCTGTCAAAGCATAATGAAATTATAATCCTGCTCCCGCTGGGGGTGACTTAATACCTCTAGCATTCAGTTCCCAGATTATTATGTCATTAAAATAAAGCCAGTCTTTAGAAGCAGTAATTATTCATTTTTCATACCGCATATGTATTGAAAAGTTCAAAATGAATAAACATACCATACCTACACTATTTTGTTTGCTAGCATATAGTATAAAACGTGTTCTTTTTTATCACTTATTAGGGTAATTTTAAGCCTATTTATAGACATAACATCTGTAGAGGTTTTAATCAGAAAATTAGTGGTTTATGGTTTATACAACAAATCAACATCCTGGTACAAGGGTATTAGCCCATAAATGTTCCGTTTTACTTCTAACTCAAGCCTGTATCCGAAGAGTCTCAGCGCAGTGCACAAATTCTGTAGCACCGGTGAGGATCCTGAAACACTTTGTGTAGATTTTTAGCTCCAAATTTTGCCGGGGGCAGCACCATTAGGCTAATCTTTTTGATTTCTAACTGCCAAGGTTTTTTTTTTTACGTGTGCAGCAACACGAGAGTCCGATCTTATTACGCAGAGACCAGGGGGAGGATTAGAAGACCACATGAACAAATCTTGGCATTCACTGGGGCCTGAATCTGTGACCTCCAGTACTAGAGGCAGACGCCATGCCTCAAAACCACCAAGATCCCCCCCCCCCCCCCCCCCCCCCCCCAATATAAAATTAGATTTTTATAGTTAATTAAATTACATGTGTTTTTTTTTTGGTTGTCTCCAGGCCTTAGGCTGTCTGCTGTACAAACTGTGCTTTTTTACTCTTCCTTTTGGGGAGAGTTCTCTTGCCATCCAGAGTAATAACTACACAATACCTGATAATTGTCGATATTCCAGTAATCTCATGTCTTTAATAGGTAAGTAGAGATTATTTTTTGGAGCTGTGTGTGTTCTTTTTTATAAGCTTTTATTGAGGTCACTATTTTATGTGCAAGTGTGCTTCAAATTAAAACTTTAAAAGTGTGATGGAAATTACAGTAACCATGCCATTGTCTAAAGAGAGTGCTCAAATGTTACATAGAACCTGTTCTGCTGTATTGCAGTGAATCTTTGAATGTCAGTGAACAAATTAAGAAGAATTTGGAAGCAACAAAGATGTGGTTTCTGAGATGAATGTTACAAATACCTTATGTGAAAGAAGCTAATGGAAGTAGGTCTCCGTATACAACAATAAGAAGGAGACTAACACTCTTTGGCCATGTAATGAGAAGAGAGGCATTGGAAGACATGACAACTGGAAAGATCAGTGGAAAGAGGGGTAGAGGCAGACCAAGAGAGATGATGCTGGATGGGCTGAAGCTATTGCGTGGAGGGATATCATCAAAAGAGCTGTCCCGGGCAACCAGGGATCGTGATCTGTGGAGATGCATGAGGACCTAGGCCACTTGGCAGGGCACATGATGATGATGTCATTGTCTAGTAACCTGTCAGTGTTGTTGTTAAGGATATCAGTAGTGTTAAGCTTGTGTCATAGAAGCTTATAGAAATTCAGTGTATAAGGAAGGTCCATTCCGGTGATGCATGCCTGTCAGTCCAACAAGTGTATGAGTGGAGTATGAAGTTTCAAAACAGTATGACTTCTGAGACAGACTGTTCACAAATTACATTGTTAAATATAAATATACTATGTAATTATTTATATATTAATTTTAAGTGTGTCCCACACTTTTATTATTCATGACATAAAATTAGAGATGAATTTTGTAGAAATAATTATTTTTTCTCTAGTTTCCAATAAACTATAGAAGCAAACTATTGTTTCCTTTTTTAGTGCATTAATTATATGATGCATTTGAAATAAATGCTGATTTTTAAAAACAGTTTATTTTAGTGTTTCACTTTATCACTCATTTACTTTTAGTACCTGAAGAGAGGGATGAAAGTCATTATTATGAAGTGGTCAAGATGCTTGCCTCACGCTCTGAGGCTCTACTTAATTCACTGTTCTGCATAGAAACCAAATAATTAATGTCTGTAGCCTGTATGTGCAAGGGTAGAATTTAATTTCAAACTTAGTAAGAATTGTATGAGCATAATATGTACCCCAACCCCTGTTAGTGTGCCCTCTGCTCCTAATTTTTCCAGTCCATCATAACATTTGATATAGCCACACTATTTCATTTTTTGAGGCCGGAAGCTGTTTACAAGCCAGTTTTCCCTCATTCTTTGGTGCTGTCAATATTCTTTTTCTTCTTATTCCATTGTTTTTACGAATCCCAGTTTAATTTAATTTCAAAGGTAGTAATGATTGTGAAGATCTTCTTCTCATTAAAGGTAATGTTTTTGCTGTATGTTGTTCTTGCAGCCTACATGTTAGAAAAGGATCCGAAGAAGAGGCCTGACATATTCCAGGTGTCCCATGTGGCCTTTAATATTGCTGGGAGACCTAACCCAGTGCCAAACATGAATGTAAGAATGTGTAACTTTAGGATAATTTTAGAATACTTTATATTGTAGCCTGCCTGCCAGCCCATGGGTCTTGGTTTCGAATCTGCTTTGAGTCGGATTTAAAAAAAAAAAATTTAATTGACTCTGAGGTCGACCCAACATAAAATAGGTACCAGGTAAATGCTGAGAATTCAAGGCAGATGGCATGATGTTGGCCACAACACCCATTGTATTGTGAGTGGTCTATAAAAACATGACTCTTACTCATATGTCTTGTGCATCAATGGCTTGAACAGGGTCCTAGTTAAGACTGTAGCCAACATGGTCTCATTTTAGATTGTAGCCGACCTATGTTACTGGGATGAAATACATTTTTAAAAAATGCTGTCTCCACAGTGGAGGTTGGCTGCCATTAATATTTGCAGCAACTGCTTGCTGTCTTTGGGAATATTACATAACAGGGCCCTATCACTTCCACAGTGTGACTCTCTTTCTGAAGCCACGTCAGCATTTTACTGCTAGGTTCTCCTTTGGAAGACCCATTTCATAGCCTTGATAAGGTGATGGAAATTTTTATTCTTAGCGGGCAGAAAATAAGTCCTAGCCTGCACAGTTGATGTTCATTGTGTTATACCCATGCTGCCTCATTGTGTGGGTTCTGGAGCCCTATTTTAGGGGTAAAAGACGATAAGAGGCAGCTAATTAAGGTTTTGCTGAAATTGGATGTGTTGGGCTGGAAGGCACAGATACTGCAGCCTAGCTGTAAACCACAAAGCAGTGTGCCAGCCACCCTGTTTAGGACGAATGCAGAAGAAGAACAAGGAGCAGTGCTGCCCTAAACCCTAAGATTCCCCCCCCCCCCCAACTCTCGCCCACCCTCTCCCATTTTTCACCATAAATAAGACCAGTAGAACACTTTATTCAGTCTGTATCTTTCTTCATCATCTTCCTCTTTTCACTAAAAAGCAGGCAAGCGTAATATGTACCGCACTGTCCTGGCTGTTCAAGATGGGCATTCATTTATAACACATGGACACTTTAATAGTTGAATGTAGTCGAGCATTTTTGTATTAGTTAGATTCTTCCTCATCAGTAATGTCTGGTTATGTGCTTATTCCACTATGGGCAAAAGACTGGGATTTCAGCTTGAGGTTTTTTTAAGTTCCTCAAAGTTTAGTTGTTAGGTTGGTTGGGTGTAGACATATGTTCTTTTGCAGCTTCTTCAGGAGAGGTCAGTCTTGCAGGACATGTTCTAGAGTTATTTTCAGCATGAAGACACTGGTAGAGAACTGTTTAACTCATATCTAATTTATGTGAGTGTTTTTTGAGCTTGCAGTGTTCTGAGCCTAAGCTAAACATTAGTTAGATTGTAAGAAAGCATTGCAAATAGTGAATGTAAGGCTGTATAGAAAGTTGTATATGAAAAGTCAAGTTTGAACGTTGTTTCTTTTCCATTTCAGTCCTCACCTGTGCCTGATCTGAAAACTTTGCCGAGTCCATTAACAGAGTCTGAGGCTAAACAGATTAAATCAAATTCACTGAAGTAAGTAAATTGTCTGTGTTTAAAAAAATGTTTGAGGAGGGTATGGGGGTGTCATGTTAAACGAGATGTCAGTAAATGAGAGAAAGTTCTGTCATGTAACAAGGGGTGCCTTCTCCAACAAAGAAGTTAATTATGAGCACTAACTGTTATGTGATAAGAACCTAATCTGCACAGTTGGTGGCGATAGCACCACTACATGGCCCTAAATCCTCGGTCTTAAGACCCCACATATAGCAGGTCCTTTTCAAAACATTGCTCCCATCACAGCCTGTTTAAACAAAAAACTGGTTCTCACCAGCTCTCCCACCTCAAGCACTTTCCTGCCCAGGGTGTCTCTTTTGTCCTGTGTCAATCTTCGTGCTGACTGACCTCTGCCCCTCTTAGAGTGCCCTCTGCTACTGATTTTTCCAGTTTATCGTAACATTTGAAACAGCCAAATTATATCAGTTTTTGAGACAGGATGCTGTTAACAAGCCATTTTTCCTTGGATCTTTTGTGGTGTCAATATTCTGTTTCTTCTTATTCCATTGTCTTCAAGAATCCCAGTTAGCATGTGATATAGCCAAAGTATCTTGTTTTTTTTTATAGATCAAAATGCTGTTTAAAACCAGTTTTCCTTGATTCTTTTGCGATATCAATATTGTTTTTCTTGTTCCATCTGACTCTAAGAATTATTCTGTATCTTTAACTGTAGACGCTCTTATTTCCTTCCTCAGTGATTGTAAGATGCATCCATGTCTCCTGTCCCTAAAAATATGTCACTATTAAGTAAAGACAATATTACATGTTTATTATTTTGATAGAAACATTCTTGGGGTGCCATCGATTGAAAATAGAAAAGGCAATATTGCCGTGTTACAAGATCTGAACATTGAAGAAAAACTAGCTCATATCTCAGAAACTGAATAACTTCGGTCACTTTGGTTTATTGAGAACATTGTTGGATGGCATGTTTCATGAAAGAAGAAGAAAGGATTGACCAAGATGGAAGTAGGCACTGATTGTGGAAAGACACCTTGGGCATAAATTAGTAAGAAACGGAGGTTTTTCAGTGGGCCATAGTTGGAGCAACATTCAACATAGGACCCACTACATAACAGAGATGTTTCTTCTTTTTCTTATCCTTCTCCTCCTCCTCCTACCCTTAATCCCAAATTACAGCATAGGCCTTCAAGCAACTCAAGCCATGTTATCCTATCCTTTGCTGTTATGGCAGCTCACTCCATGTTGTCCCCCATCTATTCTTCACATCATTCTCTAATTCCCTTCTCCATGTGGGTTTTTTTTTTTTTTGTCTTCCTTTATTCATTTGACTCTGTGGGCTTCATTGCAAGAACATTCTAGTTATTTTGTTGTTATTATTAAAGATAGTTTGGAGAATAGTAATTAAAGAAACCAGAGTTATAAGATGGGGGTTTAACCAAGTTTTGAGTTGAAAGCAGTGGAGGGAAAAACAGATAACTTCTTCGCATAAAGCCATAATGTGCGAATTTCTTAGCATTTGAAAACGTTCAGCCAATGAAAACAATTAAAACAAATGATCACTTGAGACAGTAAATAATGTCTTTTAATTTCTGTAGAAATTCAAATGCTGTCAGTGTTGAAAGTACGACAGTAGCCCCTCGACACAGACCTCGTGGTCAGCAGACTCCTGCCAGCACATCTCTTGGCCTACCGATTCAGACGTCCATAGCACCAAGAAAAAGACCAACTGCAAGTAATCCTAACACCCCTGTTGGTAAGTTTGATTTATATTGTCTAAAAAGTATGCTAAATTTTAAAAATTAGAAAGAAAAGAAATGGTAAGTGATAACAAAAATGTTCTGTGCTTGTATAAAGGGGCTATGAATGTACAAATGTACACAAAAATTGAGCCTGTACTTACAGAAGTTATGGTTTTAGACCTCTTCAAAGAAATCAAATATGGCCGTTGTTTATCTTGGTTTACACAGCAACCTTTAAATGCAGTCAGTCTAACAGCATTTTATCGATCTGAGATTCTGAAAATAAAACCCTATACCATACCAGAACATAGAAATTTAATAGTATACAATTTAGTTTCATATGGTTAGCATCGCCTTCAAGGCCAGGATTAAGACTTTGCCCAATCTGATTCCCCACTGTTACATAAATGGTATATTTATCTATATTTAAATTAAAATGGCTATGGTTGACTGACATACATGGTTACAAAGTTAAAATTAACTTTACAAAACTGGAAGAGCACTTAACAGCAATAAAATAGATTAAAATCATAGGACATACACATAGGTTGTGGATTGAAAATGTAGACCGGTTCTGCTCTCTTTGCAGAAGTTAACAAGCTTAAACACATAATCAAAATATAATCTCATTTCACCCACATGGGTTCACATCACAAAGAATGGGAATCAGGGAGTGAAGTTACATGGGTGTGAAATTCATAACATATCAGTTATGCAGTTTATCATATCACAGTCAATAAAACTGGGATTTTTGTCCTAATGAAAACCATAGATGACAATGGGATTTTCAATCAGTCACATTTGTAATGCAGCATGTTTGTCAGCTTTTTTTAAACATGGGATAATGTTATTTGCTCAACATTTCTTCTCCAGATGTTGGCCCTCAGCCGGCAGCTCAGATCCCAGTGTTGGCAGTTCCGGTGTCCCCCATGTTTGCACCCAGTTCCCAGCAGGCGACAGCACAGGCAGGAGTCCCAGTATCACCCATGTTCCCACCCAGTTCCCAGCAGGCGACAGCACAGGCAGGAGTCCCAGTATCACCCATGTTCCCACCCAGTTCCCAGCAGGCGACAGCACAGGCAGGAGTCCCAGTATCACCCATGTTCCCACCCAGTTCCCAGCAGGCGACAGCACAGGCAGGAGTCCCAGTATCACCCATGTTCCCACCCAGTTTCCCAGCAGGCGACAGCACAGGCAGGAGTCCCAGTATCACCCATGTTCCCACCCAGTTCCCAGCAGGCGACAGCACAGGCAGGAGTCCCAGTATCACCCATGTTCCCACCCAGTTCCCAGCAGGCGACAGCACAGGCAGGAGTCCCAGTATCACCCATGTTCCCACCCAGTTCCCAGCAAACCACCCCAACTGTAACTACCCAAACCCAGGCGACCTTTTCAAATGTGTCCAACCAGCCTTTCTATGGCCAGCAGACACCGCAACAACCACTTGTAACACAACAGCAACAACCACTTGTGACACAACAGCCACAGCCACTTGTGACACAACAGCAACAATCACTTGTGATACAACAGCAGCAACCTCAGGTGCTGCAACAGGTTAGTATTTCTTCCTTGTTTCATATCTAGATAAGGACAACATTTTACATTAGGCATCCTAGGATCACCCTCATGGCTTCATTATGTATGCGTTCAAGTTTCACCAGCTGTCTCTTTGATAAGGTGGGCAGTGCTGTTCTATAATCAGTATTTTGGGGGATCAGGTGTCTACATACATTTAAATTTGTGGGTTTGAGCATGTGTATTTGTAAATTTTTTAACCCTTTCACCCTGCGATGCTAAAAAATGTGCATTCCGAAAAAAATCCCTGAAAAAATGTTTTATTCGGTTAACCAATTAATTGTTTAAAAAATGTGTTTATCTACATTACATTTTTTTTTTTGCTTTGAAATATATAAAGATATTTAAAGGGGGTAAACAGTAAACAAGAACAGAGTAAAACATTCAGGGGAATGTGCCCGCCTGGGGCCAAAAACAAATATGTATTAGATGACTCATGCCATGACCTAAATCACTGAGGCTTGCGGTAAATTGTTGTCACCCTGGCTTTTAAAAAGCTAAAGATTGGTTAAAAAAAAACTCCTTTAAATGCTATATTAAGTTAACACTTTCACATTGGGGCCACCTAAATAGATGTAAATTTGTATACTAGAGAATGCTCATTCTTCTCCTTCTCCCACCTTCTCTGCCTCATCCTTCTCCGCCTCTTCTTTATCATTTTTGTCATCTTCTACTTGTTGTTGTCCATCCATGGCTAAATGGTTGAACTATTTGCCCTGCATTCTAAAGGTCGTGTTTTTTTTCCAGAGAACGCTTCTTTCGGTTCCCAATTGTACTAGAGTTTGTGCATTTGCATGAATCTTTCAGCAAAAAGCTGGCCGCTCTGTGAGCACAGGCCAAACCATATGAGATTAAACCTGGTGCATGAAATCTTTATTTTAAATTTTCAACTTTAAAAAAAAAATCTCCTTTTTTGTCTTCTTTTCTTCTGTCCTTGTTTTTTAAGTGTGTACATCTGTGTGTGTGTGTGTGTGTTTAAATGTTTTTTTGTCTCATAACATGATTAGCCTGAATTGTATACATTCATTGTAGCATTCATATTATGTTCACTGCTAAATTATTTTAACATGTGTCCTACAGAAAATTCAACTGGTGGCTTTCGAGGCCCACTCTGTGTGTGTGTGTGGGGTGTGGTGGGGGGGGGGGGGGATTGATTGACCGCTCCCCTTTCCCCAACAAACTTGACATAAAAAATGGTTAATTAAGGGTGTCCTAAAACCAGATAATCAGATATGTTGGGGTGAAATGGGCAGCTATCACAACCTAACCGTGAACTACAGCACAACATGCAACTGCCTTTTTGAGGACAGAATGCAGAAGAAAAAGAAGACATCAGAAAATAACATTGATATATAAACAGTCATTAGAGCCTTTTATTTTTAAAGCAAACCAGTTTAGATTATTTGTATAACAAACAAAAAAAATGTCTATATTTAGCAACAGATGATGATGCATCAGATGTACCCAAATGCCACACAGCAGCCTCAGCCAGCACAGAACACCAACCACAGTGGTCGGGACCAGGGTGCCTCAGGAGAGCAGCATATGCCGGCTTTGTCAAGTAGTGAGGTAAATATTAAAAATACTCTCTGGTAGTTTGTATTTGGCGTTGAGATGACCAAACCAATTGTTTCTCTTTAATAAACTATATTATCCTATAAAATAATAAATTCATGGGGGAAAAAAGAAGAGAATTAAAAATTTACTGTTTTATTTGGCTAGACTTGCCTTGGTTGTTTTGAAAAATGTAGTAAAATAGCATTGTGGCATACCGTCTCATACGCTCTAATAGTCTTGAAATAGGAGAAAAAGAAGCAACCATAACACTAGAAGATATTATTAAAAATTAAACCTACCACCAAACTTTGAATATTTTATTTTAATGTCAGAGCAGTACCCATCTAAGATAAATGTGATAAACAAAAGACAGTGTATTGATTGGTACTCATAAAAAGAAGTAGAAAGATAAAAGAACACAATAGACAACCTAAAAATTGAAAACTATAGTTACAGTGCCGTGAATCGAACATGTCACATCCAAATGGCATGTGCGCCTCACTATGGAAACAAGTGCACTAAGAACATGGTCAGCTAGGCACCCCGAACTCACAAAACGGAACAGTCTAAAACAACAATTGTAGAACAATGAAGAATGAGAAGCAACAGTTGAATTCATAATCTGTTTGAATCACTACTAATTACTGGCATCATGAGGGGTAATAGACTGCAGTGGTTAGGGCATGTAGAGAGAGTGGCAGATAACATAAAGAAACTGCATACACAAAAGAGCTAAGATTAGACCAATAAGATAGTGGAGACGTGCACACACATTGAGTCATTAACTGTATATTTAAAATAAACTCAAATCTTAGATAAGTCAGATAGATGCACATATGAATTCACATAATTTTGTTTACAATTATAATTGTCCTTATTATTGTTCCTGCTGTTATTATAAAGTTTTGTTTATGTTGGCCAGTCATATTCTTTTTTTATCCTTCTATTTCTCTTCCTTTGGTTACTTCATGGAAGTATTGTGCTTTTTCGGATACGGTACTAAAATAATTACCTAAATTGCTTCACTTCTGTGGATCGGCCGCTGCTTCTCCTACTGTTGATCTTTCCAGTTTTGATGTTCTCCAGAGAAATGTGCAACGAAACAACACATGGAGAAGTTTTGTAACTAATAAGCAGCATGTGGAAAACACCAAAATGACTGTGAGGTAGTAAAGAATATTAAAGTTTGTGATGAGATGGTTTGAGGTCTTTGCTTTCATACAAAATGCAATGCAGTTAAATTAATTATTGACAAGTTTCAGATGGCACATACATTTGTATGCTTGTTTACTTATTCAGCAGGTGAAAGTGGGACAACTGGGAGATGAGCATTTTTTTGAGGATATGTCCAAATCTGATCCATTGCTAGCGTCTCAGAGTGATGCTATTTTTAAACGGCCAGCAGTGCTTCATGGCCGATTTGTAACTTCAGATAGAAATACTGTGAGTGATTTGTGTGTTGTCAACAGATTTGATCATGTTTTATTTTCCTACACTCAATAAGTAGAACAGGGCGCTTGGGTCACTAAGTTTATGTGCATACGTGTGTGTTGTGTATATGAGTGTGGGCAGTCAGCATATGATTATGTGGATTCCTGTTAAGACATCCTTCATTTTCTTTGGTTTTCTTTTTACTGCTTTGAGCCGCCTCCACCATGGTCATCTTGTACTGTTGTAGAGTATCTCTGATTTTATCTTTCCATCTTGTTCTTGGGCCATCTCATGCTCTACGTTCTCTTTTTGTGCATGCCTTAGATGATCTGGCTATTTTGATTTCTAATTTAAGCTGTTTATCATATTTTAAGCATTCTTATGTTAAAAAAAATCTTATGGTGGGGCTTAAGGGATTGTTGTGTATGTTTCTAATTGTCTAGGCACCATAGCCATGTGTGAAAATTGTTTCAGTTTTCTTCATAAATAAGCTTTTATTCTTCTTTCTCTCCTCCTCCTCCTCCTTCTTCTTCTTCTTTTCCTCCTCCTCCTCCTTTTTCTTCTTCTTCTTCTTCTTTTGCATTCACCCGTAAAATGACTGTTGTGTTAGGATTTACAGCTAGCCTGTGATATCTCCCTGTGGACCCTGCACATCCATTTTTAGCAAAACGTTAATAAATTGCTTTTTATAACATGCTTGTTAAGGCGCATTGGGTTGATCTCACCCCCCCCCTTCCCCCCCCCCCCCCCCATCCCAACCCATTTTATAAATGATGGTGATAAATTACATAATATTGTAATAATTTCTCAGGTATCATTGGGTTTGCTGAACCCACCAAGTGACAGCAAGATCAGCCGTCATAGGCGAAATGTCAGTGACACTTCTTTCTTGTCCATGGGAGGTAAAGGCAGTGCTTTCAGGTAATTTACATTTTCGTAAACTGGAAACCTTTGTGTGTGTGTGCGCGCATGTACGCCTGCCTATCTGTTTGTTCATATTGAGGAAAAGAGATAATAATAATTTTTAGTAGGAAAAGATAATAATACTACACCTTTTACGAAGCGCTGCTGAACCAACCATAACATTTTTTGGCTGTTTATTTTTACTAGATTATTTTACGTTCAGAGTTTACCATTGCTTACTGAACGGTAGGTGCTCCATACCATTGTTGAATTCCATGCAAAGCAATCAGCTGCTAAATCACCTGCAGCTGGAATCTAACTGGGTATTTGAGAATTCTGAAGCACATTTGCAACACCTGAGCCACAGACAAACGCAGCATATAAACAATATAAACATTCATTCAGATATTAAAGGACTGAGCAGTCTGGAGAATAATGACATCAATATCTGTTCAGCACTCTACAATTAAGATCCTGTAAAGATATCAAAATAAATGACTTCTTATAAATATACTTGGCTTTTCTGTCTGTGTGTTGGGGGGGGGGGGGGGGGGGGAGTGTTGTAAAAAGTGACTTATTAAGGATTTGCTGAAATTGGATGTGTTTGGATGTAAGCTGCAGAGCACAGAGCAGAATAAAATATACTAGGTCTTAAAACTAGGAGAGAGGGTAACAAGCTCCATTCCTCAACAGATTTACTTCACAGATAAATATCCTATGTTCATTGAACTTTGTTCGCCTACAGTTACAATAAGAGGCATGACTGCTAGGCAGAAGGTGTTTGGTTTAAACCTGAACAAGAACAGATTTTTTTTTTCAAATTTGAAATTGACTTTGAACTCTTAGGCCGACGCGGTATAAAATGATTATTAGTTTATGCCTAAAAGTGGTGAGCGTGATGTTGACCATATCACTCATCAAATGCTGATTTTTTTTATCTATAAAAATATATCTAGCTTCATCAGAGTCCTTTATTTTACTGTACATGTAATAAAACAAAATTTTAAAAGTAGCTGAAAAATGCACTATTTATACCAACTTTGTGCTATCAGTGCCAGACGTGGACGGTCCTAGAAAAACATTAATGCAAAATACAACGTGTATACGCGGCAGGATTAACAAGAGATAGAGTCATCAGTGAAGAACTAAGAACAGTGTTAGGCACAGTATTGGTAAATAGAACATAAAAGAATCAAATGGTTTGGTCATCTGGTTGAAATCGAACAAAATTAGCACAGCAGACTACAAGATAAGAGGCATACCAAGAAAGATATGGGGGGAGGTAGTAAAAGAGACACTGCAGAAAAGCATTCAGAATGAAGCTGTGCGATCCGTTCTGGGATGCACAAGGGACACACCAGTTGTGTGTAAATGCTGATCCTGGCTATGCCAACCATTGCTAATAGACAAGTATACTGCAAGCTAAGTACTATTCTAGAGTTGCATATGATACAGAACATCTTTCGTGATGAACTAGATTCTATGAAGCATGCTAAAGTTCAGCAGCTAATAGAGGACAGCTCTAGGTTGGAAGATGAGATTATATACAGTGGCCAGGGACAGACAGTGTGTATAGGGCTTCATTGTGAAAGCCTGGTTGAGAAGGATGACTGAGAAGAGCTTGGCATACAAAATTATCTCTGCCAGCTTGAGACTGGAGGTTGAGGTGGTAACTGCCCCATTCCTGTGGGTGGAGAAAATCTCAGCCACACATATTTCATAGTATCAGATTCCCACACCATTCAGCTATGTTTGGGAATGAGCAGATAGGTTGGCTGGACTGGCCCCATTATGAGGTGTACTGCAACTGCACAGGGTGGAGGTGATCTCTCACCTGTTGGGGCAGGTAACAATTAAAATGGATGATACTGAAAACCCACACCTGGAGAGAATGTTGCAGCGGAGAGTTCTGTGGGTCTGGGTACCGCTTGAGATGCAGGGGAAAGGCAAGGTGAGTAGTTAATCAGTTGGCAACAAGTAGCATTTAAATGGAGACTCGTTGCTGGCTGTTGAGAAGGGATAGTTATTATGGGCTTGTCCTGAATGCTTTGATGTCAAATCTTTACCCAGATCTGTTGAATTTTGAATTAGGAATCGACTTTATAGCACTCGGAACACTCCCATAAGCCCCTATCTTCGGCAGCAAGCGTAGAGTTCCAATTCTGATGGTACCAATAAGTGTCTTATTGTTAATCTGTCTCGACTTCGCCTTGAACGTTGAGCATAGGCCAGATCCCCTGGTAACTCCCAGCAGCGCCATTTTCCTTAGACCATAATGATATATCTGTGTCTCCCCACTGTTCACTCCCTCCTAAAGGTCTCTTACATCATTCACCTTGTCATACATCAATTCACCAACAAGTGGTGCAGAACCAGCTAGTATATCTGCCTGCCTGTTTCTGAACACACCAGAATGGCCTTTAGAGATTATACAAAGGACGCTAACTACCCAGGACCTCTGAAGTGATGCTTATCACTCTGCACTGAGCACGCCCCTCTCCACCTTTCTCAACATACTCTGTGAGTTAGTTACAATTACAACATGTCTGTACAGCTGATTTTCAAGCCAGCAGAAGGCAGAAGTCACTGCCTCTACCTCCCTTCTCAAACTAGAAGTTATGATATCTTATGCCAAACTTTGATGCACTAAGCAATCTTTACCCAGTTGAACCCAGATACAGAAATGCAGTATAATATTAACACACGCTATGCAGTTAGCAAAGACAGGCAACCACATCTAACTCCTTGCTGCAATGCTTTATGGTATTGGCAGAATAAAGTTATAATAAATGGATCTTTTTTTTTCTAATTTTTTGTATGTGAATTGGCACCAAACTGTTATTTTTTTTTGTCCTCATCAAGGGCATATCATGGCAGTCAGCTGGCTGCACCAATTGATGCAAAATCAAAGTCTGCAACAACAACTCCAATAAGTTCTCCACCGCCACTGTGAGTTATGTGTATATCCCTGTCTGTTTATTGAACATTTTAATTGTTTTTTTTTGGTCTGAAATATGACACCTAGAAATGATTTAAAGTGAGAAACTTCTGATGGATATAGCTAACATAATTTAAAATAAACATTAGTAGTAGTAAAATAGCATTACAGTGGAAAATGTTTAAATATTTAATATAATTAAATTTGTTATTGTTTAACATAATTTATTGTGGTAGTTTGCATAACATGGAAAATAGTTAGCCATCATTGGAATTAAAGTTAGAAGTTGAGAAAATGATTTTATGGCATTTAAAAAAAAATCTAATATACCATGCCCATATCCTCCTACCAGTTCTAGCGTGAATTTTCAGGATGCTTGTAATATAAAGCCTACTGAGATATAAGCCCTAGTTAAGATGGTCTGCCAGATGGAGGGATGTTGGTCGTCTGTTGAAACACACAACAGATGTATTGAATTATAAAGTAATGGATATGTAAATGAATTATAATGTATGTTATAAGGAAGTATTTCTAATCCAGACACATATACAATAAAAATATCACAGCCCCTGAAAATAAGCTTCAAAGCATCTTTGTAGAAGAAAGACCTAGTCTTTTGTTTTTCTTCGGGGAAACATAGTAGTTCAGCCACTCTTACTGCCTGCTGAGTGTGTTGCACAAAGCATGAAGTATGTAGCCCCAACAGTAGTCCCTATGGATCTCCATGGACTGAACACTGTATCCATGAAATGAACCCATCATAATGCGAGGCAAATGGCTTGACCACTTCACTATGGAGATAGTTGGAATTAGTACAGTAGATGAAATAGTTGACATAACAGTGGAATTAATTAATATGTGTTAGTTGTGAAATTAGTATAGGAGGAAATAGTTAACATGGCAGTGGAATTGGTAGAAAATAAGGAAATAGTTAACATAACTGGAAATAGCACAAGAGAGAAAACATCTAACTCAACAGTGGAAATAGCTTAAGTAACATTGCATTAAATATAATTAGCATACATGTTGTAAATTTTTTTATTTATTTACAGTCTGCTTGTATGTTTCTTTTTTTCTTCGCATTCAACTTCTGTAAATTTTGGTGAAAAGTGTTTGTATATTTGGACTTTGGCTTTGTACTCGGACCTGTTTTGCCCGTACATCCATTTTACTGTTTTATTTGTGTGTTAAATGTTTGAAATTAACAATAGTTAGTGTGTGTGCATGTGCTTAAAATCTTAAAAAACCCATCAAAATGTTTTTCTTTCTTTCTTAGGACATTAAGATATGCTTATCAGAACTGGCCACAATAGTATAGAGATTAATAAGTTTGTTTTATGAAGGCGGTGTTCTTGTCAATTCTTTGGCATTTGAGTAGAATGGGAAACTATTTCACTAGTAATTTCTTCCTTCTTCTTCTAACATTCATGAGCTGTAAACTCTGGCGCAAAGTTTTGGTTGTTTTTTCATTCCTGGACTTTGATCTTGATCCTGAACTTGAGATTTGCATGCACATCAGTTTTACTGGTCTGGCTTATTTGTATGCAGGCTATTAGTTTCTTGCCTCTCAGTCAAAAGCACTCTGTTAAGTTGCCTCCTTTGACATGTTCTATAAACCCTCCTTAGAATAGGGCCGTGGAGGTTTATTTTATTAACCCTAGCACTCTTACTACTCTTATTTTCTTTCTGGTCTTTCTCCTCTTCTCTCTCCTGTATGTGTAATGTGCTGTTCTCATAAATCTAAACTCATAGATGAAATAGAAATAGAAAGGCATTTACTATGCACATCAGAAGAGAGGCCAACCATGTAAACAGTATGCTGAGGGAACAAGAGTGTCTCTGGAAACATGCACATAAATGGGCAGCCTCTGCTGTTTATTTTCACATGGACACTGCAACACGAGATGAAACAAAATGTCTGGCATGAAAGAGTGGAAAACTTCTATAAATAATCCAAATAGTTATTAAAATATTTGTACCCTGTTTTTTGCATTAAATTCATTGTCATTTTGAATTACAGAGGTTCTCAGAGGTATGGCAGACCTGTTTCAGCTGACCTTGCAGAATGGAATCCGTTTTCTGATGACAACTTTGGTGTAGATGCTGATGATATGATGTTTGGGGAGGAATTTGATAAAATCCGTAGAGGTTCAAATACCAGTGAGTGAATAGAATTGATGTGTTCATAAACATAACTTTATTTTGAAAGTGTTTTGTTCTGTGGGTCACTAAAGTTACGAGAACCTGATCAAGACACACTTTTGGTATATGTTTGCTAGACCATATTTGTATAGACATGTCAGCACTTGATAGGTTATGTGGACAAATTTGTGCTGGTCACTTTTACTTTTCACACCAGATCATGTAGATTGTCAATATGTTTTCCTCTTTCAAATGTAGATGCATGTTCTAATTCGAATTCCTTGGTGCTTATGGAAATAAGGAGGTGGGGAAAAGCTGGTTTCTTTAAGATCACTGCTGAAAAAGTTAACCATAAAATGTGAATTCAAAGCTTAACAAACAAATGACAGATACAAAATACAACATCACTCATTTTTATTATCTTTGTTTGTGTGTTATTTTTGGGGGGGGGGGGGGTGGGTTGGAGCAACCACTGTTATGATAATTGAAAAACAGTTTGGTTGAAATGTTCCATTTGATATTTAGTGGTCTTTTGTCTGTGATCTATGATTCTAGTATTCTTTGAGGTGGTGAACCTTGACCACTTTTTCCTATCAATTTGGCAAATGGTGAGGATGAGATAGCTCTGAAGAAATTGTCTTGCATCTGTGTAATTCACCAGTTATCTTGCTAGAGATGGATGCTGTATAAAGGCTAGTTTTACTTCTGGTCGTACAAATGAGAGAATGTTTTTTAATTGATAGAATCAACATCATTGAGCCATGTTATTCCATATTACTCAGTCTCTCACTGCAGAATGGTAAGCCACCTGCTGATGTCACACAAAGCTCGCACTCTGCAGCTCCAGGGATGATCCTCAGGGATCTCTGTAAAAAATGTTATCATGAACTTTATGATGTGTCTTTAAAAAATTTAAATGAACTTGCAACCTTCAGAGCGTAAGGCAAACTGTTTGACCATTTTGCCATTCAGGACACGCCCCCGCCCCCTTTTCCCACAAATAAAAATGGGAAAAAATCCAGTTTTTATGCCTATTAAGCATATAAGGCAGGCCCCATTTTAGTTAAAGAAAAATTAACACTTGATGGATGATGCTGGAAAGATCTGAATGGCTTGCTTTACTTCCCAAGAGATTTCCTAGACCCATTTTTAGGTTGGTTTGAATTTGGGGACAAAATTAAATTGTAAAAACCAATTTGATGAGGTGGGGATCGAACCTTGAGCTACTGGGACAGCAAGCCTCCACGTCTAGTAATCCTTGTATTCTGGATGTAAGGGTTGTTTATTGTAAAATACTTGGGAATGGATGCTGATTTCCAGCTCTCTGTTTTAATTTCACAGGTATTTCCAATGTTAAAAGTCGGGAAGACTTAGTGATGTCCGGCTCTGATTCTTCAGATCCCTTTTGTAATGCTCCATTTAAAAAATCAGGTAAGGTTTTTTTTTGTTAAATTTTTTAATTTATAAAATTTTTTTTTTGAGTGGCTGCTTTGTGGTAGCCTATTTTTCTCTCTGCTTGATTGCTGTATATTTTTCTAAATGATATTTTGGTGTGGGCTATGTTTTTTGTGTGTGTGCATGTTTATAAACGTTCTTCCATGTTCTATAGCCTGTTTTATGTTTTTTCTTTATATTTTCTGGGTGTCTGGTGACTAACCATCTTTAGAAAAAGTTCAAGATTTTGAGTCTAAAAGATTCAAGTTCCCAGAGTTTTTCCTGTCATAGTTTTGATCATCACTGGCTTGTTTCCTGAGAGTTGTATTTTAATATAGTTTCTTTTCTAGAGCTTGCAACTCCATGGTTTCTTCCTCAAGGTTTTGTTGCCATAGCATTCTCCCAGACCCTTCCCCCTCCCCAGGTTTTTTTTCTTATAGGGCCTGCTTCTCCAGAATGTGTTTCATTAGATCTTGTTTCTTTAATAGTCGGTTTCTGAGGGTTTATTTCACTAGATCTTGTTTCACCAGTTTGTTTCACTAGACTTATTTCTTCAGTTTGTTCACTAGACCTTGTTTTTCACGGTTGTTCCCACCAGACCTTCTTTCTCCAGTTTGTTTCACTAGACCTTGTTTCTCCAGTTTGTTTCACTAGACTTTGTTTCTCCAGTTTCTTTGACTAGACCTTGTTTCTCCATTTTGTTCACTAGACCTTGTTTTTCAAGGTTTTTCCCACCAGACCTTGTTTCTCCAGTTTCTTTCACCAGACCTTGTTTCTCCATTTTGTTCACTAGACCTTGTTTTTCAAGGTTTTTTCCACCAGACCTTGTTTCTCGTTTGTTTCACTAGACCTTTTTTCTCCAGTTTATTCACTAGACCTTGCTTTTCAAGTTTTTTTTATTATTTATTCACTAGACCTTGTTTCTTCAGAATGTATTTTACCCGGCCTTGTTTTTTGAAAAGTTTTTTTTTAAAAACTGGATGCTATTTCTCCTGAGTTTTTGTTACCAGATCTTGTTTCTCCAGAGTTTGTGTCACCAGACCTCGTTTCTCAGTTTCACCCCACTACTTCTTGTTTTTCTAAGGTTTGTATGTTTGTTTCGCAATATCTTGTTTCTCCAGTTTGTTTAACTAGACTTTATTTTGCCAAGGTTTTTTGTTGTTGCTAATTCTTATTGTTCCAACGGTTTTTTTTCCATAAGACTTTGTTATTCCAATTTTTGTATCATTAGACATTGTTTATCTGGAGTTGTTGACAAACCTTGTTTGTTTAGAGTTTGTTTCAGCAGACTTTGTTGTTTTCCCAAATTTGTGTTTTAGCAGACCTTGTTTTTTTTTGTTTTTTTTCCCACTTTTTTCCTTTCTTCAATAAATCTTGTATTTTCAGTTTATTTTTTTCTCACTACAACTTGCTTCTTCAGAATTATTTCACACATGGTTTAATATCCCAGAGTTGTTCTTCCACAGTGTTCTTCAAAGATTTGGCATTTTTACTTCTTTGCACTTTCTTTCCATCAAAGTTTAAGCTACTAGGCTTGACTCAGCAAATGAAGATTGTGTGTGTTGTAATATTGTAACAGTAAAACCAATTTTCTTATCCACATCCCTATTTAGCAATAGTAAAACTCTAAAATAAAGGAATATTTAATTCTATACATTTTCCTTGTGCAATGTAGTTTAATTCTTCCAGCAACTCATTAAAAAAAATTGAATATATATATATATATATATATATATATATATATATATATATATATATAAACTGAATTTAACAGAAAACAGGTTAAAAACAAATTGATATTGATAATACTGTAATGGATGCTGCTGCTGCATGAGTATGCTGTTGCAAAATATTTCTCACGTTACATCATGTCATTATGAGATGAGTTAGCCAGTTCCTTTTCTTGTCTTCCCCTCAACTGAATAAAGGCACAGCTTCAAAGTATCAGAAGTCATTTGGTTTGTTCACTGTCATAAGCCATTGAAAGCTATAAATTTTAAGTATTTTAAATTAAGAATTGCATATAAGCAGCAACATATTAAGTTTTAAGATATCATTCAGACAGAATATCTTCTTTTTGTTTTGCCCTTGTCCCTCAGTTGAGCATGGGGTGTTGACCAGCTTTTGTAGGTCATTTTATCTTTAGCTCACCCCATATTCTGCCCATCTTTCTCATTTCTGTCTAGTTTCATTTTCCATGTATTTTTGTGTGTGTTTTTTTTTCCCATTTCCCTTCTGTTTCATTCATGAAATCAGATGTTGGTAAACTGAACAAACTTGATGGAAAGTCAGGGCAAATAAGTCTTAAAATCCATATGGAAAAGGCGGTGATAATAAGACTAAATATAATGTCTTAGAAATGGGAAATCACAGCTGAAACTTTAAGCACACACGTCTTTTTCTATACTTCTGTTTTTATCTTTGTATGATTTAAAAAAATGTATAACTGTCTTGGTCCGATGATTGTGATAAGTTGATTGCTAAAGGGTATTCTACAAGTCCTCCACAGTGACTGAATATTTCAGCTCCACAACTTTTATGATACGGTATGCAGTTACTTAAAACTTTGACTGTGGAGGCCTGAATAGAACACCCCATACATAAGTGAAATCTGCCACAGCATGGGTTTGAATTCAATAGTCAATGAGTTAATGCTTGCTTTTACTGGCTATTTGAAAGTAATGCATTTTTCAAATTGTTCAGCTGTTTTTTATACGAAGCATGGTTAGTTATTCTATACATGATACACATTTCTTAACTGATTGTGACTTACCCAGTTGTTATATTTAGTTTGTTATTTTAATATTAAACACAATATTTAATCCAATTGTTTATTTAAATCCATTGTTCCTTTTGAACCCTCCCTCTGTTTCATACATAAATAATTTTTCAACCTGTCGATCTAAGCCATGGTGACACAGTGGTTTAAGTGCTTGTCTGCTAAAATTTTATCTGGATTTAATCTCTGGCCAAGGCAGGATTATGTTTATTTTCCAGACAGATTTGGCTCTGGGGTCAACCCTGCCTCATAAAATTGAGTGCCGGGCAGTTTTCAGAAGTTTCTGGAAATTGTCTCCAAACAAAAGGCAGTTTTAAAAAAAGAGACACTCCTACACCCCCTCCCCCTTTTTTCTCTTTGAACATTTTCTTACCGTTATTACACTTTTTTCCTTTCTGTGCTGCAAAAGTTTCCTGCCCTCGTCACACTTGGTTCCTCCCATTTTTCCTGCCCCTTTTTTGGTAAATTCCTTTGCTCCCTTTGCTAAATTTGTTTCCTTTCCTTGTCACACTTGATAAGGCTAGTTCAACCCATAGAGCCATTCTGATTGGGTGTAGCACAGCGTAAATGTACCATATTATGTCTGATAAGCCCAAATAGAGATGCAACATTTTATGTGTAATGTGCCTGAGAATGACTTGTGATCATTACATATTGTCATCCCTTTTGGGATGCAATTTTTTGTTATTTGAAGCCCTTCTCTGGCTCTTGTCAGGGGTCGCAATATAGCCCGGCCATAAATATGGTCTAATGGCTGAATGCGGTTTCTGGGTCCTATCCATGTGTGATCCTCATCCACATGGTGACACTTTGTGTCATCGGGTGTTTATCACTTGTGTGATGTTCTTGTGGGGTAAAAGAAGATATAGAGAAGAATGACTTGGGTTTTTGTACGATACAGCACAATATGAATAGATTCAATTATTTATGTTACAGTCCAGTTAGAATGTAATAAATTATTTGTAATATGGCATAGTACAAATATAACATGTTATATATGTGATGCCATACACTCATTGTGACAATACAATGTTCATAATACAGTACACAGAGTGTATACAGTTATGTATGATACATAACCATATGCATGTAACAGTTCAATGAGTGTCAGTGTAACAATTTATATATTGGAGGGTTCAGGGATGTAAAAGTTTATGGTATAGCCGGGAAGGCTAACCCGTTCAACAAATGCCCACAGAAGTCGGATGTGTTGGCCGAAAGGTGCAAATATCGCAGCCATGCTGTAAACGGACACAACGCAATTACATCTTCGGATGAACGCAGAAGAAGAAGACGTATGGTATAGTTCAGTGATATAACAGTTTGCCATACAGTACATTAAATGTAACAGTTTATGTATGTTACAGTGCTATGGGTGTAAAAGTTGTATTGTATGGTTCAGTGAGGTAAAAGGTCATGTATGATACAGTACTGTGAGTGTAACAGTTTATAAATGTAACAGTCTTATGGATGTAACAGTTTATGTATGATACAGACTGATGGATATAACAGTTTATCTGTGATGCAGTAAAATACGAGTAACAGTTTATGTTTGGTACAGTGCAATGAGTGTAACAATTTATGCATGGTATGGTTCAATTATTATAATAGTTTGTGTATGGTTTGGTGCAGTGAGTGTAACAGTTAATGTTCAGTGTGGTTCAACAAGTGTAACAGTTTATGTATGGTACAGTGCAATGAGTGTAACAGTTTACATATGGTACAGTGCAATGAGTTAACAGTTTATGTTTGATACAGTACAATAAGTGTAACAAGTAACGCATGTGCACTGATGCACAAATCTACAACCTAGCAGCCACCATGAAGAGACTTTCTGAACACCATTTTTTCTTATCCAGTATGCAATAGTTAATGTTTTGCCATGTGCCATGAGCATGCAGAAAGATGCACAGAACTACAACTAAACAACCACTCAGAAGAGACTTTCAGATCACCCTGTTTCTCAGTCTGTTTACTACAGGACATCTTATTTCATGTTCTAATTATTCAGCTGGAAAGTTGATTATGAGTTTGTTTGTTTTTTTAAATGTCACTTAACCACAGGGATCCTTAGTCTCATGTCTACATACTTGCCCGCTGGTCCAAAGATGCAGAAAAGTTGACTTTTTTCTTTAAAAAAATTTTTTTTGCATTGGCTACCTGCTTGATCGAGCCTGCATATCAGAAAATATCCTGGAAAGTAAATGCGGCCAGGGTA